GTTTATTCGCCGTGACTCAGCTCTTTCAACTTTCATGAATGTCGGAAAATCTCACGATTTTCGTCCCAATCAGACATTAGGAATCTTGAAAAAAAAAAAAACAAAAACAACGACGAAATTAAGCTCTAATCACAAATTGTAATTATTCTAATAGCAATAAGAAATGATATAACAATCCATCGGGCTGGCCCTTCTATTGATAGGGGAATGTATGGGGGGCTTGATACCGTTTCACGTACGAATTTTATAACACGCGTCACGTGTACTTAAACAGTATTTCGCAGGTCACGAATTGTAAAATACACGTGAATCTTTCCTTTCTGTAAAATTCACGTGTCCCATCTTAATTTTGGTCTGGGTCACGCGTCGCTTATGAACTCTTTGCCATCCTCCATTAAATCACCATATAATATCGAAAAAAAAATGTTGTAAATATACATTGTGTAAATAGTGTTAGAATGCTTGAGTCAAAACAATTGTTGTTCTTTCTGCTAAATCATTTAGCTTTCTCGTTAAACTTGTAACTTAAAATCAATATTAAACTTAAAAATATGCAAGATATTTTGTCTGAAAATGAGGCTCTACAATATCATGAGCCTTAAAAAGTCTTTATAGAATTTTTGAGGCTTTGAGTTCAACGTAATATGACTTTTTCGTAGACAAACGTCAGCAATTTTAGACATGAAAGAAAATTAAGGTCGCACCATATACGAAATTAAAAGAAAATAAAAATTAGGAGGAAAAAAAGGCGAAAACACGATCTATCAAGAAAATAAAGTTTCAAACAGTCCGAGAAGGAGAATTGGGGCTTCTTAATATCACAAGCTTATAGAAGTATTTTAAAATGGCTTCCAGTTTAAAATGATATGACATTTAACTTAAATATGATAAATTCTACTGCAGTTCGTCAGTGGTTAGCTCATGTTGTAGAGCGCCGGACTGCCGCGCGAGAGGTCGAGGGTTGAACCAACACACAGGGTTTTAAAATAACTGAGGATAATGTTATTCCTTTACCATGGCATCTGCAAATGGTTAGACATTCTAATCTTCTCGGATGGAAACGATAAACCGTTAGAGAACCCATTCATTTCTCGCAAACGGTAGAGAAGAAATCCACTGAATATCGCAAATACATATAAAATAGATTAAAGTGTAATCTTGTACCACATTACTTTAATCAAGATCTTATACTGCGTGGTTATACTAATTCGCTCTAGGGGGTTATTTTTCAAGAAGCCTACGGCAGTGTCTGGGAGGTAATGATCCACTTAGACTTAGACTGATGTTATGACGCGTGACGTAACACATCCAAGCATGAGGTAATCATCCTATATTCAGCCTAATCTTTATCACGGCGTCGTGCCTGAAGAACAAAGAGTGTTAAATCCCATCTCAGACGAAAATTTTACCTTCGCAAGTTCCAATATTTCTTTTTTATCGTGCGAGTAAGAATCAAACCTTCTCAATCTCCTTGCTCACGTAAATGAAACCTAAACAAACATTATCGATGTATAAAATATTTTTTGTTTGAAATGGGTTCACCAAGAGTATTATCTTTTCTGAGGTTTTTATTCGGGTGAACAGAAAAATATATACATATATACTTAGGGTCCCAGCTCCAAAAATATGGAGGACGACATCTTGATTTCTGCGCATGTCTGGGATTGCACAGTTCATTAAATCGCCATATAAGGCAAATTGAATCCAGTTTGGCTTACAAGTGGCTCGAAAATGGCTAAATATGTTGAAAAGCTTTGTTGCCGGCGAGAATCCAAGTAAAAAGTTTAACCTGGTTTTAAGAGTTTTAGCTATGAAACGCAAATAATTTTCAATTCTTTGCCTGTTCTTTTTCGCAAAAATACAGAAACATCAGGATATTATAAACATAATATCTTGGCAATATTTTTTGAGTGGGTGTGAAAATACTGACGTAATGTAGAGACAGAAAAAGCAAAAATTTAATTGCAGTCTTTCGAGAAATATGTCAAAACAGAAAACTGATGATATCTTTCGCAATCCGTGGTATCTCTGCTTTTAAAGGAGACATCGATGGAAAGCCGGGCACGTATGTGACAACGAAATGTTTGTTTTATATTTCTGAAGCAACAAAACGAAGATTTCCGTTTGGAAATTAGGAGAAAATTTGCAGCTGTGCACTGATTTGAATAAACTGTTTACCACATAATATTTTGATAACGCTCAAATGGCATGTTATTCGTTTATTAACTTTGCCTATCAGTCGAGTAAGTTAATCAAAAATTTCAATTTGGAATGGGTTACAACCAGTGCAGAAAATTCGAGAATTGCACCAAAACGTGTTTCTCCTAATTAGTATGCACGAAAAAAAATCAATATCCTCTTTACGGATGCCGGAAAAAATCATTTTCGGGCGAGATGCCGCCAGAAAGGAACAAAAGCGGAGTCGACGTTGTTCTGAAAATTAGTCTTCAACATGAATACAGTGATTTGAATAAGGATGTTGTCACTCAGAACCTTTTAAAACTCTTCAGTCTTGCAAATCTCCACCAGTTGGTGGAGGAAACTCTATGATCAAAGAGCAAATTAAACTCATTGTTAGTTGGGTTAAATTTGATGATTTCACTTTGACACGAAAACTCACAAAACTGAAGAAAATTTAACCTTACATCAATCACTTGTGGGTAAATTTGGCGCTCGTTCAACATCAGCAAGAAAGGGTTATCTGATACACAAAAAAGTTTAGCGATAATATCATGGATTTCGACGAAACTTCAGAAGAAGCTGTCACAACGATTTCTATGATAAAAAACATGACTTCCACCCAAAGAAGGCTCTCTGGTTTGAAGCCATCCTCAGTACTACCTCTGCGAAGTTCACCTAACAGATTTGACGCCAGGCGAGGAAGCCCAAGGCCCCTGAGTAACCACGAGAAGTTTTGTGTTAAGCCAACAAAGATTTCCAATCCCTCTTGGCCAAGCATTGGGGTAACTTTAGCAAGCAAAGAGTTCAAAAGAGGACTTGAGCGCAAAAAATTAAGGCAAAGTAAAAGTGAAATGATCGTTGATGACTCCAATACACGCATCATTCCACGAAATACAGATTTCCCGCGGTTGGCAGTCTTGAAATCAATTCTTTCCAAAGAAGGTGATGCCACATACAAATCAGCCGACACTGTCCCGGAGAAATTTTCCCCTGCCTCGAAAAATTCGAGAAAAAAGCCTCATCCAACATTCCCAGCGGCAAAAGAGGGCACATTTTATCCGCTGCCTTTACTGTCAGTCGTGAAAATCAATCCAATTCATCGTCAAGCATTTCTTCCGAAGAGCAAAGTGACGCCTTGCCAAATGAAATACTTCACTGATGCAGGACCTCCACGGCGCCTTCCCACCCGTTACTCTTCAGTTTACGATTTACGTCAAATGAAACAGGAATAGTGATTTTTAACACATAATAATTGTGCATGCCTTGCAACATCGCTAAGAACAAACTATCATGATTTTGTAAATTCACACAGTATTGTATCTCATGGATAAAATCGCATGTAATTCGGGAGAGAAGTGGCAAGTAAAAGTGTTATATTCAAACACTTCTGGTACTGGTCACTGAAACTTTTTTCTGCAGGCAAACAGTTAAAAGTGTTGAAATTTTAGGAAAAACTGATTCGTTATCGCACTTCAAGGCGCCACAAATAAGCTGAATCTTTATGTTAGAATCGTTTTAAAAATAAATAGAAAAACATTTTGAGATGTTAACTCATATTTGAGGCAATTCAATAAAAGATTTTGCACTGTAAATAAACTCAAACCATGAGTTACTAAATGCGACTCCTTTTCCTATCATTTATTTGATGCTGTTGGCTAAAAATATCATTTAATACCATGTTCAACTCAAAAATTCTCGATGAAAATTAACAATTTTCGGTGCGAGTACGCGCGGCATCTGAAATCCTTTTTCGTATTTGAATTAGCAAAGTAATTAAAAAAACTGATTTCATTACATTGATAAATCCCAGATTAATCAGAGCTTTGCATTGCGCAGTGCAACAAAAAAAACATGAACAATGTGTTAAATGCGCTTCAGATCAAAATGCAGTCGGTACGTTTAAATTTGTTCCTGAAAAAAAATCATCGTGCAATTTAACAATAAATATTCTTTAAAATAGATAATTTGACTGTCGCTACACTGAAGGAAACCCAAGTTTTATCAAGCCACCGAGTTATGAAAGTGTCAGATGGTACGGTAATATTTCAAATCTATGAACATTGGAGGGATTGCGACCGGCCTGACTGGGAAAATTAGAAAGGTCCGTGCACACAACTGGAATGTTTTGAAATGGGTTTTTTCGGTTTGATTTCTCTGAGTCTCACACGATGCGCCGCTTCTGTCGAACAGTACTATTCCTAATACTAAGATCCTGTTTATTAACGTTTCTAATGCAAGGGTTTCGATAACTTTTTCCACACGCAGCTGCTGATCGCGCAGTAGGCTGCTGTGCCGTGGGGCCAAACTCTGTCAAACACGGGAGCCTGCTCGACGGTTTAAGAGACAGCGGAGAGTAGGCGATAACCGGCTTCACCAATACATGGGTTCCATTTTAAAACGAAAACCCCTGTATTGGTGAATTTAATCGGTCGTTCGGAACCGTTTCATTTTTCACTTACATAATGCTGTTCTTGAAAAGCATATCACAAATCAGTATTAAAAATGCGCAGGTGTTTTTAACTGATGTTACCGCCAACCTCGTTTCCAGATTCCATCTCCTTTCCCACTCAAGAGGGGAAGAGGGGCAAGAATAAAAGAGAACTGGAAACAAAGGTTTTCGTCGTCATCAGCCAATGAGGACTCAAAGTAAAAACAGGCAAACCGTGACACGGTTGGATTTTCGTTTGGCGTCTGATTTAGAGGATGACGCAAGTTTTCTGGACCAATCACAGACCAAAGTAAAGCGAAACCAAAGCAATACCAATTGAAAATTGGTCAATTTTCACTACTTCACAAACTCTTACATCAAAATAACACAATTATTTTATAGAATTACTTTATTGCACAATGAACACTTCGTAAAAATGAACAATATAAAGCGAGCCTAATTCTTTTCCGTAGCTGAACGTTTTCCCCTGAAAAAAAAAAAAAAAAAAAAAGATAAATAAAAAGTTAATTAATAACAGCACTACTGAATGGGAAAAGAGCATCTTCATAGGCCAAAACGTCCGTCAAGCAGAACATAAAAGACAACTTAAAGACCCTAAAATATACTTTTTCACAGAAAGTCAGAATCATGCTTCTTTCTTCCTCGGTCATGTGGTTTATTGTTAAAGAAGGAAGAGAGCGTTGGGAAACTAGCATTCATTACCAACTCACCGGCGGGCCGCGATGTTGCTCAGGAGACTGTTACCGCCCAGGAATGTGAGACCACCAATGAGAGCCAAGAGTTTAAGAGTGGTGAACATGTTCTACACGTAGAGATAAAGAACAAGAACTTTTATCACAACTGACCAATCAAAAAAACGCAAAGAAAGCAAAGGGCCAATCAGAAGGGACACAGATACCACGCGCGGAAAAAGGACGCCAAAAATAAAATAATTGCTGTGTGGAAATGGCGCGAAGTAGCAGAACGGTTACACGTGAAAAAGGCGCGAAGTAACAGAAAATGACGCAAAGTACCAGAATGGTTACTACGAGTGAAAAAGGCGCGAACTGGGAGATTTGTTGCGCGGGGAAACGGTTCAAAACATTTAAACAGCCCTAAAAAAACGTGTTTTATAGTTAAAAAATTGCCTCTACGTTTTTGTCTGTGAAACATTCATACACGAACATTTGCGTTTTTCCAAGAATCTCGTCATTTTTACAGCAATTAACATAACTTGCAAAACTACTCGAAACAAGTCTAAGTCATCTCTGATTAAGTCAAGAAATCTTATTTACAAAGAGAAGTCTCGGTGGAGAGGAAATTTTCTCTTCAGTAGCATTCTAAAATCGCCAGTCTCATTGAAAAAATGGTTTCAAACTGACGACAAATTGAAAAGAATGATGCAAGTTCGTCAAGTTTAGCTGAAGAAGCAGCACAACACTTACCAGGCTGACGAAGAAAAGGTAATAAAGGACAAATATGGCTGAAAAAAAAATTCAAAGTGAAAAAACAGTTACTCCAATCCATGAAAAATTAACGACAATTTCAGAAAATTGAAAACAAAGCGCTTTTCGATTGAGTGTCGTAAAACCAAACCTAAATAGTCACAACAGCCAATAGGAAGACAGGAAAATACCTTTAAGAGCCAATGAGAACTCAAAGCAAAAACCAAACTGCCTAAAGCGCGGGAAAACGCGGGCGACCAAGTCGAGATTGGTTTTATTTTTGCATCTGATTGGTTGAGAGAGTGGCGCGAGTTTTCTGAACCAATCACAGAGCGAAGTAAAGCATTCAATTGAAACTTGTTCAATACCATACAAAAATGTCAGAACTTTAAAGCTAACAACTGTAACAACGGCGACAATGAAGGAATGTTTCTTTCTGAACATTTCTGGAGATATGTATCTCGGCTCCCAGTGTTTCCCTCTCTACTTGGATAAACCAAACAGAACTTCGGATTTTACATAGCTGTTGAAAGTTTAAACTTACCTCCCAAACCCAAATGGAAGACTATTGCCCCAAGAGAAAATGGAAAATTGGAGATGTTAGCTCCGAGCTTTATCCACTGCAAATAAAAAAAATAAATGCCTCTTAGTAGAGTTGCTAAGGTGATCATGGAGATTCTCGCGCTCTGATTGGTCGAACATTGTGTCGTATCTCGCTATAATCACCTTACGCTGAATTTAAAAATGTCTGCCTTGCGTTTTGTCAATGTTACCGAGAAAGTGATAAAAGCAATAGAAGACATTTCAATTTAGCAGAGCACAAAAGATGTTATTACCTCGGGCTCTGTAAATATTGTGTAAATATCATCTCCTGGTTAGTCAAGAAATCTCACAGTATCAGAGAAGTCTCGGTGGAGATAAGATGTTTTATGTCGCATCGCTCCAGCGTTGTTAGCTAAACTGAGATTAACACTCATAGACTAACAACAAATGTGACCAGGTTGATGCAAAAAAAACAAACACGGCTTTTCAAACATGCTTGTATGAAAAAATCGTGAAACAAGACAACACAGTGACTCAACGGGGTCTTAAACCCAGAACTCTCTCTCTCGGGGGTCCAGTGCCTAGTCCACAGGGCCACTGCCATACCCATACCGCTGACCTTATTTTTCATAGTTTTGTTGACATTGGAAATGCTCTCACGAATTTGGCTCACACATATCTCCATGCAATACTCACAACAATCAGCATAATAGCTAGAGGAAGGAACACCAAGGCAGTGAAAGCTGTGGAAACGGCTTTGGGAGGGCGCTTTTCTGGAATACGGAACATGTGCTGAAAAAGGGAATTATATGATTAGCTGAATAATACGCGCAACTTGATTGGTTAGCACATATGATGAATTTCTCTCTAGTTTTTCTTTCTAACTGTTCACCATGCAGTTTATCTTCGCCTCATCGCCTTTGACAGAAAGTTGTGACCAAGAACAAATTCAAGAGTAGCTTTACCTCAATTTCTGGTTTAGCGTGGTACATGTTTTCTTTGTCTTTGCCTGGTTTGGTTGGGTCATCATTGAACGTTAATGAAAGAACTCCCTGAAGAAAACAAAAAAGTTTTTAGTGAAAGAAAACATCACAGAGCTTATGACAAATCAAAGTAGAACGAGAAAAATGATTGAAGCGCAGGAAACACCGAGTGACCGAAGAGCCCCTGATTTTACTCTTTAACTTTTCACGCCCTAACATCAGTATATCAGTATGCATATTCTCCACACTGTTCTCTATACCTATCCTAAGGTGTTGACAGGGAGAATTCGTTTAACAATCAAGAGCTTCTTATGTTGGTGATCATTTCCTTTATTCTCATGACATTGACGTGTGATTCAAGGGTGACATTGTAAGGAGAAATTAGATGCTAGTCACTCTCAAGGGTCTATGGGTTAATCTTATGGGTTGGGAGAATGAAGCGAGTTTTCCAAATAAATCCCATATAACTTCAATGAAATACCGAAACTGCGCGCCACCGCGAAAGAAACAACTTGCTGGACTCCCCAAAACAGATCAGAATTTAGATTAAATACTTACAACATTCCACTCAAAAGGATTCTGAATGACAGCGTCTCCAACAATGAGGTCCTGAAAAATAGAATGATCAAGGAAATCTCAGTCAACAAACTTCTGAAAACTGAGAACGAGAAACTAGTCCTATTGACGCGTGAAGCCACTCCGTGTTTATCGATAGTTGCCGACAATTGCCGACAGTTGGTCGATAGCTGACCAACGGTTGGCCGACGCATCTGTTGCACAGTATTCGTAATTTTTACCTCTTTCCATTTCTACCGGTTATTTTGTTCCAGTTTCTTTGACAATCTCGGCTACAAAGATGTAATGATTGAAGCCTACAGTGTCAGTGAATGCTTCTGGGTGTTCGGTAAAGCAAACTCGTAGGCATAACAACAAAAAGGAAATCATTCAATCTCACCATCTTATATTTTCCAGACAGAGATCCGAAGGAGTCTTTTGCAGTAGCTCCCACATCCAAATCAAACTTGAAAACTTTGCTCTGCTCTGGTTCAGCGACAAAGAATATTTCTTGGTTCGTTTTTTGATTGGTAAGTCTGACAAAGGCCTATGGATGACAAAAGCAAGTATTAAAAAACGTTTACCTTTAAAAAGAGAGCTTCATTACGAAAATTTATAACACCCTGAGAATAAGTACACAGTGGTCACACGTATGTGCATGTGCGGACGTTGTAACTACTAGGTAGCAAGCTTTCAGGCTGTCAGAACCAAGTTGTCTTACATGAGTTAAAAATTAATTGTTTCTTGATACTTTAAAATCTTATGGCACACTTTGGAGCACTTTTCCGCAAATGCAAGCCATTAAATAATCCCTTGAGTTGACAGTTCATCGTTAAAAGCAGCAGTTTTACGGTTTCTGGGTTTCTAACCGTTAACACACAAGCCAGTCACGATGTTCAAAAGCTTTTAACTTTCTTGGTATAGCTCTTGTGAATATGAAATCTATAGATTTTATGTTTCCAATTCAACTCACCTGGTGCGGGGTGAACAGATCTCCAGATGACGAGCTTTTTAGTGAAAATTTCATCACCACCTTCTGATGGTAATCAGCTTCGATCACGCTACCGATGGCTTCAGGATGTTTGACGCTGAAAACGAAAAGAAATGAATGAATGAGTTCACAACTGTTTTAAAGAATTAGACCCAGTGGCTTGAGGTATTGCCGACACAACTCTACATCCTATTTATCAATGAAATTCTTTCCCATTTAAGATTGAGAAATTTTTATTTGGTTGTCAAAAGTAAAACGGAATTGCCTTGTTTTTGTTTTACTTTGTTTTGTGATTGGTCTACAAAACACGCGCCACTGTCTCAACCAATCAGATGCAAAACCAACACCAATCGCGCCTTGGTCGCCCGCGCTTCAGTCCCGCGCTTTAGTTTTCCCGCGTTTCCCGCCGTTTGCTTGTTTGCTTGTTTGGTTTTTTTTTTCCTTTGAGTACTCTTTGGCTCTCCTGGGTATTTTCCTTTCTTCAGATGGGCCGTTTTGATAACTTTAGTTATATGACTTTACATTGAAAAGCGCTCTACACAGTATGCAAAATTCAGTAATGAGACTTTAATTGTGAAACACAAACTACCTGAGAGTCTTTGCCTTGATGTTTTGCTCTTTGTCGACAACTGACAACTCCACGTCTTCTACAGTCACCTTGGTGACAACTTTGACTTTAACCTGGAGCGAAAATAAAACAAGACTTTCCACCATCCTTCTAAAGTAAAAGTGACCTAGGAAATCCTTGTAGATTAGCAACAATGTAAATAGATTGTCTCTCTTCAAAGTCTCTCTCACCGACAAACCAGGATATTTTTACTGGAAATTTTAAATACTTCGTTTTCATTAGGACTAGGGCAATCAAGTTACAGCGGGAGAACGGACCAAAGTAATGAAAATGATAACGATGTATTTATATAGCGTATTCTTTCCATGAATATGCCCGAACATGCTTTACAGTACTTTGCGAGAGACTTTGGCCATACTGCTTTCAGCAGTTTACCAGAAAGGAAATTTGGCCCCAATTTACGCATCCTTAAAAACTAGGTTAGACTACAATATCAGAGCTACACAATGTACGTTCACTACTTCTTGCGAGTAATGCGTGGTTTCTTTAACTTCCACGGCTAACCAGTAAAGAAAAGATGCAGGGTATGGGGCTTAAGGTTTATTGGCCTTATCCGAGAAGACTACATTGTCTAACCATTTGCAGATGTCACAGCCAAGGAATCACATTTCTTAAGACCCCGAGTGCTGGTCTGGTCAGGGCATTGAACTCCCTCGACTTCCCGCACGGCAGGCTGCGCTCTACAACTTGAGCTAATCAGGCGGGGTTTTAGTGTAAGAGGTTTGAACTTGGTGACTTATTTGCCCATACTAAAAGTTCTTGATTGCTTAAAATTCGTCTTTCTTGATATATGAAAGTACAACGCTTAATTCTGAAGCAAAATGAACAAAAACACTGTAGGTGGCAGCTGCGGATAAAGCTGAAACCGGTATGAAATTACTTTGACATAATTAAAACTAGTTGGGACTAAAAATACAAAGGAGATTCACCTGGCCACTAGTGGCTCCCAAAAGGCGCTTGTCCTCTTTGTGTGGTTTGGCACTAATAAATAAACCAGACACTGAGTAAATGAAAATTAAGTGCATTGCACAGAGGCTCGACAGCAATTCAAGTTGAGATGTCGAAAGTGAATCACAGGACAAAACAAAGAAAATCCTTTTCCATCCAGCTGTCTCAAGATCATCAAAGAGCAATCTTCCCCATTATGTTACACTGATTAAATGTCATCTCCTGGTTAGTCAAGAAATCTCACAGTATCAGAGAAGTCTCGGTGGAGATAAGATGTTTTATGTCGCATCGCTCCAGCGTCGTTAACTAAATTGAGGATTCCACTCATAGACTAACGACAAATGTTAACAGGTCGATGCAAAAACGAAAAAAAGAAAAGGTGCTTTGTCTAAAAATTAAGCTGATAGATGTGCACGCAAAACAAATTTTTGCTACGTGTATGGAAGTTTATTTCAAGAATCTGTTTAGGAACCGGTCCTTTCAATACGAGTCAATTCAATAAAAAATAAAGTCGATTCGATACGTTTATAAATCAATTTGATACAGTCGATAAATAATGGTAATAAGAGCGAATGGAGTCCAATTTGGTCCGTAATCATACGACGGATTAACAAAATCGGACGACCGCAATACGGGAGTCTGATTTGTTGACGACAGACAGAATTGGACAACACGAAGTCCTGTTACCAATTAATCATAACCGTTACAATTTCCGAAAAAAAAAAAACGGAAACATTTAGCATAAGCATCTCCGGTAGAGACAATGTCTAAAGTAAAAAAATTCCTCCATTTTGGAAATTCGCCAGTTTTTTTTTCTAGATAAGTGGTTGTCTCTATGGTTATTGTGATTAATTCTGTGATTGGCGGATTTAGCTGAGTGGACTTAGTATGATTGGCTGCTTCAACTGTCCAATTACAGGTGTCCAATTACAGAAAAATAGAGCAGCTAATGCACCAATCACATTTAAGGAAATTGTAACGGTAATGATTAGTTGTGAAACATCACCTAACCTGATACTGATTGTGTACACTCCTGGTCCTGGCCGTGACGTCATGAAGTTTAATTCATAGCTGGGTAAAAACAGAAAAAAATAAATAATCAACCCTGTATCTTGATGAACAAACGACAGCGGAAATACCATAGATATTCCACAAATTACTTGGATTTTTTTTAACTGTTTAAAATCTTTAAAATGGTTAATGTTCTGATATTGTTAAAATTGGAGTATTATAAGATTTTATCAAATAAAATATTTGAGAACAATTTTCAAGATACGTTTTATGCAAGCACATTCAAGTTTATAATTTTTTTTTTCCTTTAAGATAAATAGCTTTAGGTGTCTTTGTTTAGGTCCTTTATTAGATTTTATTCACAATAAGTCTAAGCTTTACTGTGGTTTTACACAATCAGTTGGTCTCAGGTTTTCTCCATAAGAGGAATGATTTTATTAAATAAATGTCCTTTCACTGTTAGCGGTTGGCCCCATTAATGCTGTTCATAAAAATAAATGTCCAGATAAAAGGTTGAGCTAAACTGAGGATTGTTTAGGACGCAATTTTGCTTAATTTGTTTATATTATCAGACCTAAGTGCTATTATACCCATTACCGGTAATTTAGAGAGTTCTCTCTGAAAATTATAATAAGTTTTAGGGTTTAACGAAATGCTTCTTCAATTTATGGTTTAAGATTTGGATCTTAATTATTAAACACCCTTAACCTTTTAACTCCCAAGATCTGATTGTTAATTCTCCCCTCTAGTGATTACACATTACCCTGTAATTTAGTTTGAAGAATTTGGTGTTAGATAACAATAACAACTTCTGCCTGATAAGTTTAAGTATTCTCATTACCTGTTTGCTGGATAATGTATGGAGATTATAAGGAGAAGTTACATGTTAATCACTTCTGGGAGTTCAAGGGTTAAGGAGTGTTACTATTGTTACCTATGTGCTGCAAACATGCCACGCCCAAGGTCAGTCTCGATAACAATGAAGTCACTGTGGTGGGATATTTTTTATTTTAATTAAAAAAAATTGTTTAAGGATTAATTGCTTTATATCAAGGTTTAACCAGTTCATTCCCAAGCTCAACTTTTCTACATACGAAATCATGCCTTCATCACATGAAATAAAAATTTTAGTACAATCTCCCCTCTCCTCCAAATAATGAGCCTGTGAACATGTTGGCTGGATGTAACCCTGATCTAAAAAAAAAAAGATAATTTGATCAATTTAGTTTAACTACTCACTTGTCAGGTCCAGCGGAGAACACTTTGTTGCTAAGGACAGTTGTTCCCTCTGCATCTTCTGCAGATGTACCAGTGACTGTCATTTTACCAAAAGCCTTGTCCATGACATTAGTTACACGAACCTGAAGAAAAGAGTATATTTATGATATTAAATATAAAAAGAATTATTGGGGAGGGGGGGGGGGGAGGGAGGGATGGGATGCCAAATGCTTACTGACCAAAAACAGAAGATAAAAAGCCTGGGTATGAGTCACAGTAAATGGTCATGCAGGAATAAAGTTTAATAAAGGGGGTAAGTTTCTAAAGAAACTATGGTGCTGCATCGGTGGGAGAGTATAACATCGATTGCTCTGACACAGGGCTAACGCTCAAAACTTCAGCCTTTAAACTCTTTACGGTGGCCAACTTATGTGTTATCAACTCAGTTGAAAACACTAAATCTCCCAGTTAAAGTTTAATAAGACAGGTTTGGAAAAAATTATTTCACTCAAATGTGTGACTACCTTGACCATTTTGTTGTCCTCTGAAACAACCGGAGAGCCATAAAACTGGAATACAACTGGCACATGGAACTGGAAAGAAGAGCAAGTAAATAAAGTCATGATTTTCAGATCACCATATCTGACCACTATAATACCACCATGTTCATTTTCAAAGTAAGAAAATAATTTAACAAGTTTGACAACAAAAATAGCTGCCAAAGGTAACCTAAAAGATGATAAACGATGAGAATAAAGAAAAATATCAACCAGGGGGTTACAAGTTGATCCAATACCAAATTCTCCAAACTAACATCACAAGAATTGTGTGGCAGACAGTAAGGAGAATTACTAATGAGATCTTGGGAATTAAGGGGTTAAACACAGTAAAAGGGTTGAGTTGTTATACTACTGGTGTAAATCAAAGCAGGCTAATTCAGGCTTTTCAATAAATACAGCCCCCTCTACAACCTCAAACCAGCTTACTCTCATTTTTTGGGTATCACCTAACAGCACAGCTGCAAATTACACCATTGATGGCCACTTATGGAAAAAATTATTGAAACTGTTGGGCCCAGTTGTTCAAAGGCCAATTAGTGCCAACACAGGGTTAAATTTTAATTCAGGTTTCTTTACTTCTCTGTTCAAAAGCCTTTTTGGGAAATTTTCCAAACTCTTTTTAGAACAGCCAACCATCACATTGTAAGCAAAAAATATTTAAACTCAATTTTCTTTTCAAGCTTTCAGATCTGAAATCAAATTTCACACTTGCCCTGGGTTATCTCAACCCAGCTTTAAACAACCCAGCCCTGATACATGAACTAAAAGCACACCACAAACACTCTCCAAACCACCTGAGACAAAAATCTTTAAATCTGACTGAAAAAAAACTACAAAAAAACAAACTGTGCTCACTGCATTGTTGCCAAGCTTGTCCAAGGCCGAGAAAAGAACACATGAGTCCTCCACAGATTGAACATGCTTCCTTGTAAGAAGATAGTTGGTAAACTTGATGACTTGTTCCTAGAAGATGAGCATTGCAATCAAACACAGTACATGTGTTTCAGTGAAAACTGCTGTTAGGTAACATATTGCTGTTAGTCATACCTCTTATCACAACTGTTGATGAGTTTGAGGTTTGTATTGTGAGGTAATGACCAAGTTTTTCTCCTTGGATTTATGGCCAGGTGCAAAGCACACAGGCCACAAATGTGAACAAAAAAATTTCCATAACTTACAATAGGAATAACCCTTTAACCCCCTTAGAGCAGTTGACATCTAAATTCTCCCTACAATGTCCTCCCTGAATCAAACATTTAACTCATGAGAGTACAGGAAATGATCACCAACTAAATAAGGTCTTGATTACTATACAAATCCTCCTTGATAGCAGCTTACGAAATGTATAGTGAACAGTATGGAGAATATGCATGATGATATCAGGGTAAAGGGTTAGGTAAGATATTTACTACATCACTGAGTTCAAATAGAGGGAGAAGATTTCCATTCAAACAAACTTCTGAATTCAACAGGTCGTTCAGTGAAATTCCACCCACTAAATTGACCAATCATAGCTCACATACTAATATAAATCTTTATTACAAAGCATCAGGCTTGACTTGTAAGAAATCACGTGTACCAGTAATGATGATGTTTAATATGTTGATGATGACGATAATAATGGCGGAAAAGGTTATAATAATGATAATGATTTTAAAATTATGATGATAATAACAATGATAATGGAAAGACCAATGACAACGATGACAATGGCAACCAAAATGACAATGAGAAAGATGATGAAGATATTGCTGACGATAATTATGACATTCAAATAATAAGCATTACAATAATGACAATGATATGATGGAATTATAGATAAAATATTCCCTTACCTCAGTGATGGCTGGAGCCTTGTTGATTTGTTCTGAGTATAAATAAATGGCATAGACCACTTTTGAGGTTGTCAAGAGTCCAGCTTCAAACTGGAACCAAAAAACAAACAAGTGTCATAAGAATCCCATCAACATTAGAACTTACAAAAATTTGAAAATAGCATTTCATTCTAAAAGCATTTCGGCAGTTTACAAAAAAATCCATATATAGCACAGAATGGAGTGGATACTAGGCCTCATGCTTGAAAACTAGAGTTTTGTTTGGAAATTTCATCTAAGGTAAATTTATTAGCACACTAATGCAGAAATGAAGATTACCTGCAAATAGCTGTTGTCAACTTCATCAGCCTGAGCTACTGTATCCTGAAGAAACACAAATTAAAGACATGTCAAAAGAGTTGTTCTTGTGGGAAAATTACATACCAAGGAAAATGCGAAAAAACCTTTTAACCCTTAAACTACCATTAGTGACCAAGACAGAATTTCTCCTTAATACATTAATACAATATCAAGCAGACAAGAGACGAGAATAAAGAAAAATATCGTTAAGGAAATTCCTTGTTGATTCAAAAACAAATTCTCTGAACTAACATCATAAGCATTGTATGGCATACAGTAGGGAGAATTACTAATAAGATCTTGGGAATGAATGGTTTGAGTGTATTACCTCAATCAAGTCAGTGATGAATGACACATCAGCGTCTTTAGGAAGATGAGTGGCAGTGAGCAAGGCATATGCTGCCCTGAAAACAGGAATAGAGAAACATACCTTTCAACCACAATTGGAAATATGAAAAACCAGTATGTGACAAATGAGCACTCAGTTTCTTTTCTTCATCTCTCAAATTCTACTTAATACTAATGTCTGCTGTACCTCTGTTTCAAGCCAAATTTAAAACAACTGAAGGCTGGTTTCATATGTTGGGAAAATGCCAGATGATTGGCAATTTCACCAATGATCACTATAACTGTGGAAATGTGGGACAGGTTGAAAAAAAGAAATGCTTGTGGGTTTCCTGCTTGGCAGCCAATAATCCTAGACAGTCAGGGATGTCTACAATCTGGAGTTTTTGTTAGTCTGAAAACTCTGGGATGGGCAGGAAATGGTGAAATCCCAGACAATCCCAGACAAAAAGAAAAAACAGTTATAATCAGCCTTCTCCTTACCCAAGGATGCTGTCTTCATCAGAGTTGATAGCTGCCTTCACTGCCTTGAGTACTTCAGCTGTGTCCACTAAAATGCAAAAAGTCAATAAAGCATACAAAAATCAGTTTTTTTTTCCAAATTGAAAGCAACTGATCACTGCTCAATCACATTTTGAAGAACTCAACCTTGATCAAACAGTAGAGTAATGCATCTCAATAGGCTGGAATCTCAAATCCCTAAATCTGATTGGCTTATCCCATGCTTGTTACCAGTGCCGCAGTGACATTTAGGAAATAGCAATCTGGTATAAAAAAGTGGTTAACTGGTCTAGGCCGGTCAATTTGGGAAACTGTGTCCAAGTTTTTGAGGGAAGTGCAAGGCCAAAGTTGAGACTACAGACACAGTTTTTCCCTATACAGACCTCCTGCCCAATGCATAACAAATAATTAAATCATCAACGCCATTATACCTTTCAGCCCAAAATAACTTTGTGCCGCCACTGCATAATAAAGTGTTCTCATGTCTGTTCCTTCTTTGGCAGCACTTGATAATGTGGCTTCTACTCCCTGACCAGCTGGAAACTGCAGTCCGATAAGACAAAGACAGCTGTTATTTGACTTCCACAAAGACATTAAGTTTAACATTGAGGCTACAGGTGTTGTAATTTTGTGAGTCAAGTTATAGACATTGTCGAAAGCTTATCCCAGTTTACATTGCATGAGGCAACTAAGAGCATTCTTGATCTCACAACAGGTTAGAAAAATGAAACAGTTTACTCCCAAAGCCATGGTAAGGGTTATACATAA